TTACACCTACCCCTTCTCTCTATCCCTAATACCAACTTCTTAGTTCAGGGTTTCATGTGTCTCCCCTGGACCAGCCTTCTAACTAGCCAAGTATTGCTTCCTTTTAATCTTTCTCCACAGTAAAGCCTGATGATCTCTCTTACACACATACAATTCTGTTCCTTTCTCACTAAAACCCTTCAGTGGTCCTTCAAAGCTCTCGGCATCAAGTTCAATTTCCACAGAGTGGCCTGCATAGGACCCACATGATTGGCCCTTGCTCTGAGGTGTCAACCACAAGGAACTTCTGCCTGTTCTTCTTTGTGCCGGTTTATCCTGGTCTAGGGACCTCTCCGCCCTTGCCTGCCCTCTCCTGGCCAACTCTGACCCACCCTCCAAGTTTTGCTGTGGACACCTCTTCCTCCTGGAAGCCTTCCTTGACCCCTCTTTGTAGATCCCCCTATGCTGCGCATTTACAGTACCCCCATTACCAAATGCCTATTTATTTTCCCCTATGCTCCATTAGACTGAGAGCCCAATTGAGCAAGGATAGCATCTGCCATGGTCCATTTTTTAATCTCTAGCTCCTGGCTCAGGGCTTGTAAATAGTAAGAACTTAGTAAATATTAGCTAAATGAATTAAGTTTGTTGACTTCCGCACTGAGAGCTCTCAGATTTCCACTCTATTTTATATACAAAGTGGACAGCTCTGCCTCCCTAAGGTCAATTCTAGATGGTGTTGGGACTAGAGGACTGGGGATGCATTCTGTCTCACACTGAGAAGGGGAAATGATTCTATACAAGATCCTAAATGGGAGCAAGTTCAAGGTTAAGCTTTCTCCTCCATCTTGTATAGGGAGAAAGTGTCCCTGCCTACATATAGAGAACCATTCAAGGCTTTTGATCCGGTTCAACCCAACTAAGTTGACCCATTTCTCATGCTCCTCTTTCTGCCCTTTCCTTATCACCACAGGAATGTTCTCAAAGTATATGTGTCCCATAAGAACCTTCTGGCAAGTTTATGCTCCTGGGATGTATTGAGTTGAACCAGAGAAGCTTGGATTTGGAATTTGCTTTCAGAGCTCTTGGAAGGCTCTAAGCTCTGGTTATTTCTGTGTAAGCCCAAAGGGCCCTCCATACTTGGGTGGGTTCCAACCTGGGTCATTCACCTTCCCACCCCTCCCCTTATAGTCAGGCAGAGGTGGACTTGAGAAAAGTTGGAATTTTGGACAAGTTGTTTGCTCAGAGTGAGGGGGTCACCCCCACCCCACCTGATCCAATGCTCTCTTCAGGCAAGGTCATTATCAGCAAACAGCTGGCTGCATTTCCCTCGTGGGAATGCTAAAGAGACAGAGTTAATAAAAATCCATCTTATTAACAGCCTGACCTACCAGCATTGATCACATTAGAAATGACGCCACACACACAGTCCCCTTTATGTGCATGGGGCACGGCTCAGTGGAGCTCAAAAAGCCATTTAAATCCACACAGGAGTGACTCCTTCAAGGACCTGAAACATCCCCCAAACTAATAACCCCCGACAAAGCACTGCCGGGGAAAATTCCTTGCGGATTTGAGATTTTCACTCTCTTAATCTCCTAACTCAATAAAGAAAACACTCCCTGCAACAAATTAAATACTTTTATTAAAGGGTCCCCTCTCCCATTCTCTTTGAGTGAGTCTTGAACCTCCCAGGGCCTGAGTGTCTGTATGAAGGGCTATCTCCCACTCCCTGTCATTGTCTTCTGTTACTTCAAGGAGGCATGGAACCAAACCAGGATTTGCTGATTCTTGAGTCTGGAAACTTCTGACACCTCTGGCTTCCCTGAGGTGGGTCCCACATCCTGTTAGCTGAGAGAAATGTTTCACATTCTTTTGATGGGGTGACAGGTCTTCAATGGGTCTGACCGAAGCACCTTTACTCTTATAGTCTGTCTGAAAAAGGACCCAGCCAAGATTCCAGGTCACAGTGGACTTTTTTGTCCAACAATCAAACCCTTCTGGCTTCCCTGGTTGCTGGCTGGTCATACCTTGAAAGGGTAGTTGGAAACCAGATGGAGTTAGCTATACAGATTTCAGGAGGGTGGAACAGAAGTGGACAAAAGGGAGTTGAGACGGAGAAGCCCTCAGCTCTCTCCTACTGCTTCTTGCTCCCACATTGGCTCTCAGCTTCTCACCTCTCGGATCTGCCTGGAACTGGTTTCAGTCATAGAGACTTTTGGTCACCACTGTCCTTTCACATGAGTTTAAGGCCCTTCCTAAATCTTCTCAGATACTGTTCTCAGAAAGCCTACCTTGCAGGGAAATCCACTGCCTTGCAGGTGATAACTGCCAGAACCCTATAGTTTAAGAGGAACTTCCTTCTAGAAACACCTCAGCTATAGTTTACATTTCATCACAGGGTCTGTAGTGCAAAGACCTCTGTGGATCTACACAGAGAGAACAGAAACAGGGTATGTTTAGTCAGTGGTGACAATCAGGTCTCCGAGGGTCTGAGGCCTTCTTAGCAAAGGCTCTGTGGCTGTGTGATAGGCCCATACAGTGAGTGGAAATAACTGTGGGGGTCTGCACATAGAGGCTGCCCAGGGCGGAGAGAAAGTACCCTCTCTTTCCCGGGCCTCTGAGAAGGCCCTTTCTAACTTCCCTCCTCTCTATTCACTCACATCCATGGCAAACATTGGCTTCAGGCCCCAGCCCTCAGAGGTTAGTTAAGCCATATTAGCCCAGAGTGGTCTCTGGCTCATTTGAAATGTCCTTTTCCTTCTGTGAACCCTGTACAGAGGTCCTAGGCTTCACAGCTGTCCCTATTAATCTCCAATTTCAACAGAATTACCTTCAGACCGATATCCTCCCCCCCGCCACACACACATATCAGATGTTAAAACAGTATCTAGAATTTGAAGCAGGGCAGGGAAATGGCTGAGAAAATGGGGAAAGCATGACAAATGGATGCCTCAAGCTAGGAAGTCAGACAGCAGAGAGGTCTGGGCTAGAATTCAGACTTGGCTATGTGCCTGCTCTGATCCCTGACAAGCCACTTGTCTTTATATACCAAAGAATCCCATCTGTAAAATGGGATAGCAGTTTCAGCAGCCCCCTTATGGTCACTGTGCAACTTGAACAATATGAGCCTATAAATCACCTTAGAATTCAGTGAACAGGCTGATGGGAGCAAGCTCTAGGGCTTGCACACAGTGACTGGGCCTAGCTGTGGGGCCGAGAATTCATTCCTCCCCAGGATGTGCAAGACTTTGCTGGTCTACCCAGTGGCCTTTCTTCCAGACACCTCTGCAGGAGAGACAGAGCAGGGATTCCTTAGGATGTCCAACTCTGTTCCTTCTCACTCTGTGTAGCAACTGATCAGGCCAGGAAGGGATGAGGGTGAATCCAGGCTGCAGTGGAGGGAGCTGTCAGGCTCTTGGTGTTAGGTCACAGAGCCAGTCCTGGGCACAGGTGTGTGTGTGTGTGTGTGTGTGTGTGTGTGTGTGTGTGTGTCACTGGGGTTTGAACTCATGCTCAGGGCCTCATGCTTGCTGAGCAGGTGCTTTTACCACTTGAGCTACTCTGCCAGCCCTCAAAAACTAGTCCTTAAGGGAGTGAAAACATGTTAGCTGGCACTAACCATTAATGGTTTGCAGTACACCAAAATTCAATCTACCTAACAAATCTTACTCCTTAGCATTTAATTTCTTTCATTAGAAATAAGTTAAATTCAATTTAATTTAACAAAGTTAGTTAAAACTTTTCCTGTTGGGGTGTAGAGTTATAATCTAAAATGAAGAAAGGTTCAGAGGGCTGGCAAGAGTGGTTCAAGTGGTAGAGTGCCTACCTAGCAAGCATGATGCCCTGAGTTCAAACTCTAGTATTGCCAAGGAAAAAAAAGAAAGAAAGAAAGAAAAGTTAAGAAACATCAACACAGATTGTCTTCCAGACTCTCTCTCAGCATCCTCTCAGGAACCTTTCTGCTGCTCTTACCATTTCCTCCCTTCTCCATGGAAAGAAACAGTTTGGTTCAGTATCCATTCTGTCCCAGGCATTGGGAGTATGGGCAGTGCCAACCATTCCTTACCAGTACTCTTCTTCAGTTCCTGTGACTTCACCATGTGGTTTCCCTTCAGCCTTCCAGATCTCTTATTCCTTCTCCTACACCTCTAACTGGAGTTCTCTTTGTTCCCCACACTTTCCTCCATGGCTCCACCTCTGCAGCACTCTGTCCAACCCCAAATTCTGCTAAGTCCCTTTTCTTCAGTGGCCCACTAGAGTTTTCAATATGGATTTTCCCTGCCACTCAGACTTGGTATGCCTGGCACACATTTCGCTGCCTTTGAGAAGTCCTTCCTGGCTACCTCAGGACCCTTGGTACTTTCCCTTCTATAGCGATTAGTTTGAGCCATATGACATTAAAGAATACATGCCTTAGCTGGGTGTAGTGGTACATGCCTGTAATCTCAGCTACTTGGAAGCTGAGATCAGGAGGATCACATTTCAAAGCCAGCCCAGGCAAAAAGATAATGAGACCCCATCTCAACAAATAAGCCAGGTGTCTGGTTCACTTCTGTAATCCAGCTACATGTGAGTTATAAATAGGAGGATTGCAGCTCTGGGCAAAAAGTGAGACCTTATCCCCAAAATAACTAAAGCATAAAAGGGCTTGGGGAATGACTCCAGTACTAGAACATTTGCCTAGCAAGTATGAGGCCCTGAGTTCAAACCCCAGTACCATCAAAAAGAATAATCCTTTTATTATTTTTCCAGGATCTCACAGGTAACTATTTTATCTCCCCACTTGGATTTTCATTTCTTTGAAGATAAAGACAAAGACATTTATGTTTACATCTTAAAGTCCAATGCAGTTCTGGACACCAAGAAAGGGATATGGGAGGGTCTTTGTGAGCCACCAAGATTCCTGGAAAAATTCAAGATACAAGATGCTATTTCCCACCAGGAAGGTCAGCCCAGCCTAAACCCTGGGCACATTGTAGAGAAGCCTCCACTATCTCCCTTCTGGGGCTCCATCTCACCTGGCTGACTCCTTCCACTCCATCTGGTCTCCATCATGCTGCAGAGTGTCCATTTCTGTGAAAAGGGTGGGGTTGGGAGCCTCATCTTCCTCCCCCAGGATGTCCTGGAGCTGCTCAGCAGCTGGAGACCCTGTAAAAGAAGGGTGACTGAGTTCCCTATGGAAGGCAGGAGGGCCAAAAGACTAACAGAAATGGATCAGGTGCCAAGAGCCAGGAAAAACTATTTCCTAATTTAATAAAACTAAGTTCAGCTTTGGGTCACACTGAATTCACATCATGTTGGATTAGATGCAGATGAGACATTCTTTGAGATAAAACAGATGAAAAGATTTGGTCTGTATTTTAAGCCCAACATCTTGCAGCCGGCAGCAAAAAAAGTATGGAAAATGGTCAAAGCCAAGGCAGCAGCAAAAACCAGAAATGGAATAGAGAAGTGAAATGAGAAACACTCTAGCCCAACTTCAGCATGACAAAACTGAAGAGGTCCTTTTTCCTGTTAGGCACCAAACCATTTGACTCCCAAAGGTGATCTCGAAGAATCACTCAGCCATGCAAAAAGATGTGCTTGCACCATGGTGCTACATGAGCCCACCTTCTCCATTGGCAAGGTGGGCCTGTTTCCTGAGCCCTCAGCCTGCTCTCCAATGGCCCACTAGCAGTCACTTCAGGGATGTCCAAGCTCAGTATTCCATCACTGAATATCTCTTCCCCAAACCTGCTTCCCTCCCCCTCTCTCCTTCTTTACCTCCCTCCCTCCCTCCCTTCCTTCTTTCCTTCCTTCCTTCCAATATTTAGTGAATGTCTACTATGTTCCAGGAAGGCATTATACTAGGTTTTGGAAAATAAATCTGTAAAGAAGATTCATGTGTCCTTGCTATCTTAAGAGAGACAGAGACAGATAATAAACAAGTAAACAAATTATAAATGCTTATTTCAGGTAGGATAAGTACTCTGAAAAAGACAAAATGCCCAGGAGAGCTATAGGAGATAGCATGGTCAGGAAAGTTCTCTGAGGAGGGTTATTTGAACTGTGACTTGAAGTATAAGAATGAGCCACTTCTGTACATCTCAAAGAAAAGTGCTTGAGTATTCCAGACACCCTGAGGAGGGAATGTGCTGGTCAATGTTCCTGCAACATGGTTAGCCAGGGAAGAGGGATGACATGATGTCAAAGTGGTGACAAATGTCTTGGCTAAAGGAATCCCTGTCCACCCACTGCACAGACAGAAACCCTAGGGTTATATCACCTTACCTTTTTCCCTTATCTCTGCCTCCGAATTAGAGATAGCAAGAATACATTCCCTCCTTATCAACCCATTGCTGTGCCCTGATTTAGCCTCCTGTTAACCTTCCCTTGAGCCTCATCATGTCTTCCCCTTTCTCCCAGTCTCTTACCTCCTCAGCTTATCATA